AATAGCATCCTGTGGCCCCTTCCTAAATAAAAAATGTCTAAATTGTTTTAAAAGATTTATTTTATTTTCATTACAAAGTCAGATATACAGAAAGGAAGAGAGGCAGAGAGGAAGATCTTCCATCCGATGACTCACTCCCCAAGTGAGCGCAATGGCCGGTGGTGTGCCGACCAGAAGCCAGGAGCCAGGAGAAAGGAACATCCTCCAGGTCTCCCACCTGGGTGCAGGATCCCAAAGCATTGGCCGTTTTTCACTGCTTTCCCAGGCCACAAGCAGGGAGGGATGGGAAGTGGAGCTGCCAGGATTAGAACCGGCAGCCCATATGCCAGCCCATTTGGGATCCCAGTGTGTTCAAAGTGAGGACTTTAGCTGCTAGGCCACAGTGTCGGGCCCAAAAACGTCTAAATTGTAATATGCCCTGGTTTAAACAGCAAAACCAAATGTTTAAAGCATTCTGTGTAGTTGATAAGGTAAGCCATATTTTAGTTCACCACATTGTTTTTCTGAAATTCTTTTCAATCAAACAAGTGAGTTCAGGAATCCATTCTTATTCATTCTTATAACAAATAAGAATCAATTCTTATAACAAAATGCAAATAAGTCCGAACAAAAGCTCCTTTTGCCATGGAGTTCTGCCCCAAGGAAGCTACTCTAGTAGTTGGGTTGGTAGCTGTTCAGATGGCGGGCGTGTGTCTATTTAACATAATAGGTCACCTTTGGAAAACCAAGGAACTGCAAAGGATTTGCAGAAACCCTGCAGAGCAGCTCAGCTCTGGCTCTAGGCCCCAGCACACCAGGAAGCTGCAGTTCAAGCTCAAAGTGCCCAGTTCTCTGACAGCCCTGTGGGGACCAGAAAAGGGAGTGAAGGCTCCTGGCTTCAGTGTGACCCTGCAAAATTGGGGAGTGAACCAGTGCAGGGGAGATCTCTGTCGCTCCCTCTCCTTTGCTCAGTCGTTCAAATAGATAAGTACATCTTTATATATATATAATTCTTTTAAGATTTATTTATTTTTATTGGAAAGGCAGATATTTAGAGAAAAAGACAGAAAGGAAAATCCTCCATCTCTTAATTAATGCCCCAAGTGACCACAACAACTGGAGCTGAGCTGATCCGAAGCTAGAGCCCAGAACTTCTTTCCAGTCTCCCATACGGGCGCACGGTCTCAAGGCTTTGGGCCATCCTCAACTGCCTCCTCAGGCCACACGCAGGCCTGGGAAGTGCCATTGCCAGGATTAGAATCGACACCCATGGGGGATACTGGCACGTGCAAGGCAAGTACTTGAGCCGCTAGGCTACCGTGCAGAGCCCACAAATTTATAAATCTTAAAATATACATATATATATAACTGAAAATTACTAAGGCTAGAAAATAAGTCACAAAATAAAAATATTCCATAGAGAAATGGGTAATTTCACAAATGAAATCCAAATGACTAACAAAAATAGTTTTAAAATGTATTTTCTTATTAGTAGTTAGAGAAATTAAAACCAGAATGAAAGGCTAGAATGAATTCACTAGATTTCCAAAAGTGTATATCATCAGAAAGCAATGATGGGGCTGGGCATGATAGCGTAGTGGTTAAAGTCCTTGCATTGCACACACCAGGATCCCATATGGTCACCGGTTCTGATTCCGGCAGCCCTGCTTCCCATCCAGCTCCCTGCTTGTGGCTTGGGAAGGCAGTCGAGGACAGCCCAAAGCTTTGGGACCCTGCACCCGTGTGGGAGACCCAGAAGAGCTCCTGGCTCCTGGCTTTGGATCAGCGTAGCACTGGCCATTTCAGTCCCTTGGGGAGTGAGCCATCAGACGGAAGATCTTCCTCTCTGTCTCTCTTCCTCTCTGTATATATCTGACTTTGTAATAAAAACAAAATAAACCTTTAAAAAAAATAGTTCTGGCTGCTTTGTTTCCAATCCATCTCCCTACACTAATGTGCCTGAGAACGAGAGAGATACTGGCCCAGATCCCCCGGCCTCTGCACACAGGTGGGAGACGCAGAAGTTCCTGGCTCCTGGATTTGGATTGGCACAGCTGCAGCCGTTGAAGCTGCTTGGGGAGTGAGCCAGTGGATCAATGATGTATCTCTCTCTATCATTCTGTAACTCTGCGTTTCTAAATCGTGTATCTCTTAAAAAAAAAAAAAAAAAGGAAGAAGAAGAGGTACAAAGGTTCATTTATTTTTATTGGAAAGGTAGAGTTACAAAGAAAAGTTGAGTCAGACAGAAAGATCTTCTGTTCCCTGTGTTCCCTGGTTCACATCTTAAGTGGCTGCAATGGCCAGCACTGAGCTGATCTGAAGCCAGAAGCCAGGAGCTTCTTCCAGGTTTTCCACACGGGTGCAGGGTCCCACGCATTTGGGCCTCTTTGACTGACTTCCCAGGCCACAAGCAGGTTAACATGTAATGTTAACATGTAATGTTTCCCAAGTCAGTGTTTTTTTAAGGTTCAATTTATTTTTATCAGAAAGTCAGAGATGCAGAGGGTAGGAGAGACAGAGAGGAAGATCTTCTGTCTGATGGTTCAGTCGCTTCTCCACAATGGTTGGAGCTGAGCCAATCCTAAGCCAGGAGCCAGGAGCTTCCTCCGGGTCTCCCACACAGAGGTGCAGGAACCCATGGCTTTGGGCTGTCGTTGAGCTCATTACTACAGACATGGAGCTGGATGTGAAGTGGGGCTGCTGGGATTAGAATTGGCGCATTCAAGGCGAGGACCTTAACCATTATGCTATTGCGCCGGGCCCCCCCAAGTGAGTTTTGTCCATGTACTTTGCTATTATGCATAAACAATGTCACTTTGGAGTACAAAATATACATAGCATTGGTCTACGTAAAACTGTTTTAAAGATTATTTGCTTGAAATGCAGAGTAACTGTGGTGGGTGGAAGAGGAGGGAGAGCGCGAGAGAAGCTGAACACTTCCATCTGCTGATTCACTTCCCAAATGGGCACAAGACCCAGGCTGAAGCCAAGAGCCAGGAAAACTACCCAGGTGCCTAGGGGAGCCGCAGTGGGCCAAGCCCCTGGGCTGCTCTCCACTGCTTTCCCTGTGTCTTCAGACAAGGAGCTGCATCAGAAGCAGTGCAGTCACGACTCTAATCGGCATGTTCAGATATGGGACGCTGGCAGGTTAACCCAGGGTGCCACATTGCTGGGCCCTAACTTCTTAGTTTTAGAAAGACACTATATCAGTATACTTAGTTCTCCTTGTAAGTTAGCCAGAGCTAGAAAAAGGAAGACTTGGAGGAGTTACTCTGCCAGTCAGGGCGAGGCTGATGGAGAGCTTTGCTCTCCAGTGGAAACAGACAGTGCTGCATGGAAGCCATCAGTGGCTGCAGATCAAAGTCTCCTCGGACGCTGTTCTGATGCAATCCCATGAAGTCTCCGATTGCTGCTGGGTGACAAGCCCCGTGCATGATGCAAGCTTTGTAGTAAGGACCGAGCCGGCTCTGAGTCACCTGCACCACCTCAGAGGGGCATTCCAGGAGACGGGAAGATTCTTGAGAGCTGACTCATGGGCTCAAGCTACTGGAGAACTGCAAATTGTCTCCTGGGCTATTTGGATACAGTATTTCCATGTTCAGTGAGAAAAGCATGGATCATCTGCCACTGAGAGAGCATCACTTCTGTTTTTTTTAATTGGGGCTTGGGCTCGTTCATAGCAAGGACTCCAAAAGCAGTTGTTGATTTAAAAAACAAAAAACAAATCATTTATTGGAAAGACAGAGAATTTCCATTCCTGATTCATTCCCCAAATGCATTGGCTGCAGCTGGTCCAATCTGAAGCCAGGAGCCAGGGTGCAGACATGTGGGTGCAGCTCCCAAGGTTTTGGGTCGTCCTGGACTGCTTTCCCATGCCATAAGCAGGGTGCTGGATGGAAATGAAGCAGCCGGGACTGGAACCTGTGCCCATTGTGGATCCTGGTGCTTGCTAGTGGAGGATTAGCCTGTTGAGTCATGACACTGTATGAATGAATGAATTTGTTTTGCCTTAAAGTTGTTAGGGGCATTGGGTAAACTCCATGAGTTTTGTCAGTCCTCCTATCAACCCTAACTCCATCACTCACCATCCCCGATGCAGTATCTAGTTCATCTCTTTTGGTCTATGTTTTTAATGCCTCCTCATTGTCTAATAATGACACACAAAAAAGCTGCAAGAACAATGCTTTAGACCATAGTAAGCCTGAAACGAATGGTGGCCTCTATTAATTATTGTTTTTGCTGTTTCGCCCAAGCAAAGCATTACCAAGACTTTTGTTTCTGTGACACGCTCGTTCCCTGGCGGGAGAAAGTCAGCTCTCTCGGGCATGAGGCAGGTCCGGGACCACCTGAACTCCAAAGGGAAGACATGGACAGGGGCGGAGACGGGCGGAGCGGTAAGCTAGGGAAAAGACACAGCCCAGAGAAGCCGACCGGCCCGGATCAGGCCAGGAGTCGCCAGCCACACAGGATCTCGAGGCGCGGACATCCCAGCGCTGGTTTTGGCCTCGGAGAGGAGAGAAAGGTGTTCTGAAGTGATGACGCATGGATGCTCAGGACAGACCCCGGGAGGACAGGCCTGCGCTGCCGCCTTCGGGATCAAGGACAGAGCGTGTAAGGCGAGCAGAGACCTAGGCGCTACAGCACCGAGGGACGCGGGACGCCGGACCGGGATCCTGCCCCTCGGCGCCCCAGCGTGGAGGCGGGACCTGCAGCCGCAACCGGCGGAAACCGCCTGAGGCACTGAGCCCTCGCAAGATAGACAGGCAGCTTCTGAACCAATCAGGGCAGCGCGCAGGACGGATGTGGCTCTCTCATTGGTGACTTTCAGGAACAAGCGGCAGCCCAGAAGTCCGCCCAGGAGGCGTACGGGTGACGTGAGTTGCGGAGGAGGCCGCTTCGAATCGGCGGTGGCCAGCTTGGTGGTCTGGCCCAATCAGCGGCCTCCACGAGCAGCGTCCCGGCCAATCAGCGTCCTCCACGACGGGGCTGGGGGGAGGGTATATAAGCCCGCACGGCGGCGGCGCGGTCCACACCGGCCGACACAGCAGAGACGCAGAAGCTTCGTGGTGGTTGTTTTTTTTTCTTGCCAGCGGGAGAGGTAAGCGCCGCGGCCTGCGGTCCTGGTCCCCACGTTTCCGGGCCGGCCTTGGGTCTCGCTGGCGGCTCCTACTGACCCGGGGTGCCTGTCGCTTTTCAGGTCGTTTTCTTCGTTTGCGTTTTTGTGCTGCGGCCTGTGGCTCGATTGCTTGCGACACCCGCCTGTCCACCTGCTGACCGATCCGATTGGCTCCCGGCAACATGAAGCTCCCCTTGGTGGCTGCGGTGCTGCTGCTGCTGAGTGCAGCACGGGCCGAGGAGGAGGACAAGAAGGAGGACGTGGGCACGGTGGTGGGCATCGACCTGGGGACCACCTACTCCTGGTGAGGGGTCTTTTTGTGTGGGCGGGTGGGGCGGGGCCCCCAAGCTGGCGTGGACCGTGCGATGCTCATTGCTTTTCTGTTTTTCCCCCTTAAATCCACAGCGTCGGGGTGTTCAAGAACGGCCGCGTGGAGATCATCGCCAACGACCAGGGCAACCGCATCACCCCGTCGTATGTGGCCTTCACCCCCGAAGGGGAGCGGCTCATCGGGGACGCCGCCAAGAACCAGCTCACGTCCAACCCTGAGAACACGGTCTTCGACGCCAAGCGGCTCATCGGCCGCACGTGGAACGACCCGTCGGTACAGCAGGACATCAAGTTCCTGCCCTTCAAGGTCTGACCCGGAATCTTCTAGATGGAGGCCCAAGGGAGCAGAGCATTAGAGGGGAGGGGGCTTGGAGAATGAATGTAACGTGTATTGTTTTAACTTAATAATTCCAACCTATTAGAAGGTTTAGGACAAAGTCTGCCCACAATAGTTTAGGATGGAGACGCTGATTGGGAGTGGAGATGCCTTCCTAAGAGTTGGCTTCCTGTGTGGGTTGGTCGATATTTGGCTCTGAGGGACCCAGCGGTAGGGACAAGAGTGTCTTTAAAAAAAATCAGTTGAAATAGCATTAGCTGTGTTTGTAAAAATGGTAATATTCTTTAAAATAGGTTGTTGAGAAGAAAACAAAACCATACATTCAAGTGGATATCGGAGGTGGGCAAACAAAAACGTTTGCTCCTGAAGAAATTTCTGCCATGGTTCTCACCAAGATGAAAGAAACTGCTGAGGCTTACCTGGGGAAGAAGGTGAGGATTTTTCAATCAGTGCTAGGTGTGTTGTTCTTATTAATTGATTTATGTAGAGATGTCTTGATTTTCAGATTGGAATTTGGATGTCACCCATGTGGGTCAGGCTGGAGGGGGGCTTTTATTGTAGGTCAGACAAAACACTAGGCGTGTTCCATGTGTGTGAAATTGTATGGGTTGTACTTACCTAAGAATTGGCTTACATAGTAAAGCGCTAGCTTGGCTATCATGTAAAGGCTAAGCTACGTGAGAAGCATCCTTACTTAGCTCCGCTTATCCTGTAGGTTACCCATGCCGTGGTCACAGTGCCCGCTTACTTCAATGATGCCCAGCGTCAGGCAACCAAAGATGCTGGGACGATCGCTGGACTGAACGTCATGAGGATCATCAATGAGCCGTAAGTGAGACTCCAGGCTGGGGCCCCCTCGCCAGGCAGGGAAGATGAGAACTGGCCTGAGCTTTCCCCCTTTGATTCTGACAGGACCGCAGCTGCCATTGCTTACGGCCTGGATAAGCGCGAGGGAGAGAAGAACATCCTGGTGTTCGACCTGGGCGGGGGAACCTTCGATGTGTCTCTCCTCACCATCGACAACGGGGTCTTTGAAGTCGTGGCCACTAATGGAGACACTCACCTGGGCGGAGAAGACTTCGACCAGCGTGTCATGGAGCATTTCATCAAGCTGTACAAAAAGAAGACTGGCAAAGATGTCAGGAAAGACAACAGGGCCGTGCAGAAGCTCCGGCGGGAGGTGGAGAAGGCCAAACGGGCCCTGTCTTCGCAGCATCAAGCAAGAATTGAAATTGAGTCCTTTTATGAGGGAGAGGACTTCTCAGAGACCCTCACTCGGGCCAAATTTGAAGAGCTGAACATGGTATGTTTCTTGGTTTCTGCTTTGCTGATGAGTTCCACTTGGACTCTGACTTGAGGAATATTGAGGCAGTGTGTGGGCCTCGCCGGCAGCACGCTGACTCTGTCTGTCATTCTAGGACCTGTTCCGGTCTACCATGAAACCTGTCCAGAAAGTGTTGGAGGACTCCGATTTGAAGAAATCTGACATTGATGAAATTGTGCTCGTTGGTGGTTCTACTCGAATTCCAAAGATTCAGCAGCTGGTTAAAGAGTTCTTCAATGGCAAGGAGCCATCGCGTGGCATCAACCCTGATGAGGCCGTGGCGTACGGTGCTGCTGTGCAGGCTGGAGTGCTGTCTGGCGATCAGGACACAGGTAGGTCACTGGCATCCCCAGCAGTGCTTCCCTGGCTTGATGGGGAGGAAGGCTGGCAGCAAGGTCACACTGCTAGAGTGCCATGAAGCAGGGCCTGGGCAGTCTGAGTCCTCGGCACGTAATCTCATTTACTGCCCCCAAGATGGCCTGTGCCCAGAACTTATCCTGACACCCAGATGGCAGAGCATGTGGAGAGGTGTGGTAGGCACTGCATACATCCCTGGAATTGTTTGTCTTTGCAGGGGATCTGGTGCTGCTCGATGTGTGTCCTCTTACCCTTGGCATTGAGACTGTGGGAGGTGTCATGACCAAACTGATTCCAAGGAACACTGTAGTGCCCACCAAGAAGTCTCAGATCTTTTCTACCGCTTCCGACAACCAGCCAACTGTCACAATCAAGGTCTATGAAGGTAATTGCCTGCATTGTTTTAAGTATCCCCTATTTAGTGCTCACTCTTACAATGGCCAAGGAATGAATTAACTGCCTTTTTTTTCCCCCCAGTAACTGCTACTTTTTAGATTTGGAGAATATTTGACCACTCTTGAGTTTCATTGTCAGCACTTATCTAGCTGTTTAGCACTCTCCCATTAAAAATGACTTCAGTGCCAGCTTCTAGAATATAGGACAAGAAAAGGGTTTCTCATGATGGAAAGTAGCTGCGACTGAGTTAATGATGTATCAGTCTCTTTCAGCTTGACAAAGTGCCCTGTCACTCTAGGCTCTGACTGACACGCAGGGTCCAGGATGCGCTCTGTGTGTGTGTGTGTGTGTGTGTGTGAGTGAGTGAGTCACTGACAGGTTCTGTGTGCACTTCCAGGTGAACGACCGCTAACCAAAGACAATCACCTCCTGGGCACATTCGATCTGACTGGAATTCCTCCTGCTCCCCGTGGCGTGCCGCAGATCGAAGTTACCTTCGAGATCGACGTGAACGGTATTCTGCGTGTGACAGCTGAAGACAAGGGTACAGGGAACAAGAATAAGATTACAATTACCAATGACCAGAATCGCCTGACCCCCGAGGAGATCGAAAGGATGGTCAACGATGCCGAGAAGTTCGCTGAAGAAGACAAAAAGCTCAAGGAGCGCATCGACACCAGAAACGAGCTGGAAAGCTACGCCTACTCGCTGAAGAACCAGATCGGAGACAAAGAAAAGCTGGGTGGCAAACTTTCCTCTGAAGACAAGGAGACCATGGAAAAAGCCGTGGAGGAGAAGATTGAATGGCTGGAAAGCCACCAAGATGCTGACATTGAAGACTTCAAAGCTAAAAAGAAGGAACTAGAAGAAATTGTTCAGCCAATTATCAGCAAACTCTATGGAAGCGCAGGCCCTCCTCCAACTGGTGACGAGGATACAACAGAAAAGGATGAATTGTAGATGCTGATCTGCTGACGCTGTACATTGTAAATACTGGACTCAGGAACTTTTGTTAGGAGAAAATTGAGAGAACTTAAGTCTCGAATGTAATTGGAATCTTCACCTCAGAGTGGAGTTGAAAATGCTATAGCCCAAGTGGCTGTTTACTGCTTTTCATTAGCAGTTGCTCACACATCATGGGGTGGGGGGACAAAAGGAATTGGCTATCTTAACATTTTGGTTAGGGGGCGTGTTCACCTGGAAATGTTCTATTTAACAACTGGGTCATGTGCATATGGTGTAGGAACTTTTTTCTACCATAAGTGACACCAATAAATGTTTGTTATTTACACTGGTCTAATTTTTGTGAGGAGCTTTCTCATTAGATGGTTTATTTTCAGGAAGTAACTAAAACTTAGGCTGGGGGGATACTTGGGATGTTGGGAGAGGTTCCATTCAGCCCTTGCTTTTCCTGGACTGTGCCTGCCCTTCCTCTAAGCATGGGACGGGCTCACCCACAGCCTGTCTAGGCAAGGGCCATTTCAGAACGCCCTAGGCTCTTACACCTGCTTGGAAAACCCTACTTCCTTTTGGATTTTTTATTATTATAGCTTTAGTATTTTTATTATAGCTTTGTAGTTTCCTGGATTTACACTTGGACTACATTTTGTCAAGACAGGTTTGAGATTGGGTAGAGTTTCTGAGGAACGGAATGGCTTAGGTGAATGCTGGCCACCAGTACAGGGCAGGCTCTTTAGGAATTCTGCCCAGGGGTAGACCTGTATGGCTATGGATTTGCGAGGGGTGGTCACAGACCTTGGGCCCGATCCTGCCCTTGTCTTTGCGGTCTGGCTGCACTGCCCAATACCTGCCTCTGTGGAATACAGTACAGCAGGTATGCAGTTTAGACCCAGGACAGGTACTAAAATGAACCTGCAATGCTGTGTGCCCTAGGGATGCAGTTGATGGGGATCCAGGGGATCCCCACGGCCTTGAAAAGGTCTGCTGCCTTTCATTAACAGCTGCAAGTCGCTTGTCTAGCTCATACTGGTAAAACCCTTGCACTTGGCTACCCACTTCTTTTGTTCATGTACCTCCGTAGCTGAGAGCCATGTGAATTAGTAGTGCAAAAGATAATGTTTTGTGGGTAAGTGATTTTGGGGGCTGCTGTGGCACAGTGGGTGAAGCCACCAGCTGCAGTACCGGAGCCCATGTATGTGAGTCCCAGTGGCTGCATTTCCAGTCCAGCTCCCTGCTAACGCACTTGGGAAAGGAGCAGGCATGACCCAATGCCTGGTAGGCTCCTGCTCACCATGTGGGAAACCTGGATCACGTTCCAGGCTTCCTGCTTCAGCCTGACCCAGCCCTGACTATTATACTCATTTCAGGAGTGAACCGGCAGAATTTAAGACAACTGTGTCACCGCCGGCCCCCATCCTTCAAATAAATCTTTAAAAACAATGGGGGGGGGCCCAGCATGGTAGCCTGGCAGCTCAAGACCTCACCTTGCCGGAATCCCATATGGGTACCGGATCCTATCCTGGCAGCTCCACTTCCCATCCAGCTCCCTGCTTGTGGCCTGGAAAAGCAGTTGAGGACAGCCCAAGGCCTTGGGACCCTGCACCTGTGCGGGAGACCCTGAAGAAGCTCCCAGCTGTAGGCTTTGGATGGGCTCAGCTCTGGCCATTGTGGCCACTTGGAAAGTGAGTCAGCAAACAAGTTCTTTCTCTGTCTCCTCTGTATATCTGCCTTACCAATAAAATGTCTTGTTTAAAAATAAGTAGATAGACAGATGAAGCAAGCTAATATTTCTTACCTGTGCAAGCACTTTCCTTATCAAAGAAGGGAAAAACTTCAAGATCCTGAAGTCTTCTCCCTTTTTAAGCCCATTAGATCCAGGGCAGGCACTTGGCACAATGCTAAAAATGCCACTGGGGACGGTCATGACCCACCATGCAATGCCTGGGTCTGCATCCCACCTACGCTCCTTTCCAATCAAAATGAATAAAACTTAAAAAAACAAACCTGAGTTTTATTAGTCAACTAGAGTCACAATACAATCATTATAAATTTCCCCTTCTGTGTTCATCCCACCAAACACAAAACAGAGCCACATGTCGCTCTGACTTTCCTCATGTGCGTCATCACGGCAGGTCAGTCCTTTGTCACCGGCGGTGGGCCCCTCGGCCTCACAGCTCACACCCACAGAACCTGAGTCTTCCTTCTCAGAAGCACGAGACACCGGCCATGGGATGACACACATGGAATGGTCCAGCCGCCCGGCGGGGAGGAAAGCATCAAACTTCAGCAAGGTCCAGTGTTGATTTTCTGTGTCGGGCAGGAAAAAAGGCCCTGTTCAGTTCATGTCGAGAAATTCCCAGAAATGCTCAGCCAATACAATGAACAAGCCTACTAATATAGTTACTGCTTGAAAGAAGTCATTTCCTACAAGTTCAGTGCCATCCCTTGGACTTTTTGTAAGATTTTTTTTTTTTAATTGGATACACAGAGAAGGGGAGACAGATTTTTTTTGTGTGCTGGTTCACTTGTCAAGTGGCCAAAACGGCCGGAGCTAAGCATCCCCTGGGATTTACACAGAAGAGTCAAATCAAAACCAAGGCACGGTGTCAGTTTATAAGAAACATTCCGGTATTGAAAGGGGCTGAGGGTCCCCAACTCACCTATGTGATACTGGTACATCGTGTCCAGTGCTCCTGTGGGAGTCATCCCTCCAAAGACATACAGGTGCTTCCCCACGGCTACAGCGGAGTGGGCGGCGCAGCCCACGGGCGCAGCCCCCGTGGGACTCAGCTGCTGCCACTTCATGTCACCTGCCGAGAGAAGACGCGTCTTGACACAAGTGGGCTACAGTGTGGTTTCAGATTGATCCGACCACCGTTACAAACACATCACACTGACAGTCACTAAGGACGGTGAGATGTAATAGAACAGGGTGTAGTGTGCGCGTGGATTACCCGGGTAGGAAGAGGCTTGGTGATCCAGGTGACTGCTGCAGGTGGTCTCCAGGGTACACGGAAACGCGATCCTGTTTTAGGGTGGCCTTCATCTTCAACTGTTCCTCAACTGCCCACAGAGAGGTAAGGGGGTGTGTGTTTCATACTGTCAGCTTTTAAGACAGCCATTTCAAAAGTGCCGTTACGTCCGCTGCTACCCCTTCCTGGGGACGAGCAAGCAGGCCTAGACAGACGGATGCGCTCATCCACAGCTTGGGAGTGGCAGGGCGTGACGTGTACTCGGCGTGGAAGCTAAACCCCAGGTCTGCTGCTGCGGAACTGCGTGGCCTCCGAACCTGCCCCTCAGCTGTAAGCACGTTTTGGAGACGTTTTTGATTTTTCTTTTTGTGCTTCTTTTTAAAATACATGACAGGTGGATAGATAAAGACAGAGCTGTCATTTCTGCTGGCTAACTTCCCAAATGCCTCTAACAGTCAAAGCAGACTTGGGAGTTCAACCCGGGTCTCCCTTGTGCCCGATGAGAACCTAATTACTGAAGCGATCTGCTGCCTACTAGGGTGTGCATTGGCAGGAATCCTGCAGGCACGAGGGGCAGGCAGGGGTCGGACCCAGGAACTCCAACATGGCACGTGGGCATCTGTAACTGCTAGGCCAAAAGCCTGTCACAAGCAATTTTTTTTTCCTAATATTTATTTATGATTGGAAAGGCAGAGTTATATATAGAGAAGGAGAGACAAAGATCTTCCATCTGCTGATTCACTCCCAAAATGGTTGTGATGGCTGAAACTGAGCTGATCTGAAGCCAGAAGCCAGGAGCCAGGAGCTTCTTTTGATGTCTCCCATGTAGGTATAGAGATCCAAGCACTTGGGCCATGCTGCACTGCTTTCCCAGGTCATAAGCAGGGAGCTAGATCAGAAGTGGAGTAGCTGGGACACAACCTAAGCTATGCCGGTGCTATAAGCAGTGGCTTATCCCTTTATGCCACTGCACTGGCCCCATTCAAACAAGCATTTAAATAAGGCAGGATATCAATAGACTTTAAAGGTTTAGAGAACCACTTGTATAGGTAGAAAAAAAGCAAAGCAGTTTCTCAGCATAAGAGAAAAGTATTTGGGCCAGTGTAACGACTCAACTGGTTAATCCTCTGTCTCCAAGTGCCAGCATTCCACATGGGCACCGGTTTGCGTGGCTCTACTCTGCTTTCCATCTAGCTCCCTGATTGAGGCCTGAGAAAGCAGTGGAGGATGGCTTAAAACTTAATGCCCCATGTGGAAGACTCCTGGTTTTGGATTGGCTCAACTGGCTGTTGTGGCCATTTGGGGAGTGAACTAGCAGATGGAAGATCTTCCTGTTTCTCCTTCTCTCCGTAAATATGCCTTTCCAATAAAAGCAAAAAAAGAGAGAGAGAGAGGAAAGTATTTTGTTCTTAAAAAATGAACATTGGGGGCCCAGTGCCATAGCCTAGTGCTAAAGTCCTTGCCTTGCACACGTCATGATCCCATAAGGGCACCAGTTCGTATCCCAGTATCCCTGCTTCCCATCCAGCTCCCTGCTTGTGGCCTGGGAAAGCAGCCAAGGATGGCCCAAAGCTTTAGGACCCTGTACCTGCATGGGAGACCCAGAAGAAGCTTAAAAATTGGTTCAGTTCTAGCCATGGCAGCCACTTGGGGAATGAATCAACGCACGGAAGATCTTCCTCTCTGCCTCTCCTTGTTTCTGTATATCTGACTTTCCAATAAAAAAATCTTTTAAAGAAAATGAACATTGGGAAGCTGGTATTGTCTCCCTCAGCATCCTCCATCAGAGAGCAGATCTCAGCCCTGGCTGCTCCACTGCTTTTTAATTTTTATAAAAGATTTATTCTAAATAAAATAAATGCTGTTCAAGTCCAAGTCCCTGCTAATGTGTATCAAGGGAGGCAGCTGATGATGGCCCAAGCGCTTGGGTCCCTGCCACCCCTAGGAGACCCGGATGGAGCTCCTCTCTTTCAGCCTGATCCAGCGCTGGCTGTGACGGGCATGTTTGGGAGGAAGCCAGTGGATGGCAGACACAGAGCTCTACCCTGCTCTTGCCATCTTTCAAATAAATAAATAAATAATTTTTTTAGTTATCTTTCCTATTATCTTACTCTCTTTCTCTCTAATCGGGCTGCCTGGTTCTGTGAAGATGGCTTCCATCTGTGATTGCAAAGCAGGGACCCAGCAACTCAGGCTAGGAGGCGAGAACCAGTCAGGCCAAAATTCTAGCCAATGCAAGGTCCCCTGGCTTCAGATGTCACCCGGTCAGAACACGCGGGGTTGGCAAGGCAGCCTCCTGTGCATCAGCGTTCCTGTGCCTTCTGCCCATTGCTCCAATTCGAGCGGCCCGGAGCCACCAGGAAACACGTTCCATTGTCCATGTGACCACACATGACCAGGAGTGTGCTCATTACCAGTCACTGTGCTAAGCGCTGGAAAGAGACTGGGAGACCAGAGACAAAGTCCCGGCCCTAAGGCAGCACATGGCCCAAGAGAACAATCCAGAAAGAACCCAACACTTCATGGCACACAGGCCCTTCACATGCCCAAAGACAATTCTCATGCACTCCTTATGTGCCAGTGCTGCAAACCCACCTCCTGATCCACACTGCACCAATCCAGGCCCCTCAGGGGCTACTGGCTAAAGAAATCCAGTTGGGGAACACAAAAGCACAGCAGACAACATAGCAACAAGAGGGCATGGTTGTCAGAGGGATAAAAGACGGTAAACACCTAAGGCCACAGTAAGTACTCAGCAGTGCCCATTCACCCCTGTTCTTGCTCATTAGTAGAACTTGGTAGAATGGGCCCAGCGTGATAGTCTAGTGGCTAAAGCCTCGCTTTGCATGCCCGGGATCCCATATGGGCAGCAGTTCGTGTCCTGGCAGCTCCACTCCCCATCCAGCCCCCACTTGCGGCCTGGGAGGGAAGTAGAGGATGGCCCAAAGTCTTGGGACCCTGCACCCGTGTGGGAGACCCAGAAGAAGCTTCTGGCTCTTGACTTTGAATCAGCTCAGCTGTGCCTGTTGCAGCCACATGGGGAGTGAACCAGCAGATAGAAAATCTTTCTCTCTGTCTCTTCTTCTTTCTGTATGTCTGCCTTTCCAATAAAAATATGTTAATATTAAGAAAAACAAACAAACAAAAACAAACAGGGCCTGGTGTAGTGGCCTAGCAGCTAAAGTCTTTTCCTTCAATGGGCTGGGATCCCATATGGGCGCCAATTCTAACCCCAGCAGCTCCACTTTCCATCCAGCTCCCTACTTGTGGCCTGGAAAAGCAGTCAAGGATGGCCTAAAGCCTTGGGACCCTGCACCCACGTGGGAGACCTGGAGGAAGTTCCTGGCTCCTGGCTTTGGATCAGCTCAGCTCCAGCCGTTGCGGTCACTTGGGGAGTTAACCAACAGATGGAAGATCTTCCTGTCTGTCTTTCCTCCTCTCTGTATATCTGACTTTGCAATAAAAATAAATAAATCTTAAAAAAAAAAAAAACTTGGCAGAATCTAGTGAAGATTCTACGAGCTGGCCAAGTCACCTGCAGGCAAGATCAAGGGCCTTTCAAATCCATTCCCAAGCATTTCACACTCACAGGCCTGTGCCGTCCTCCTGACTTACCTGTATCGATGCAGTGGAGATCGCTGTAGAACGTCTCCCCGGCCAGGCCTCCGTGGATGAAGAGCTTTGTTCCCGCTGCCACCATAACATGACCATGCCGTGGGGAAGGAGGACTTCCAAAGGTCTCTGGCTGTGACCATGTCAGAGCGTCTAGGAAAGCAAGGAGATGGGAAACACACACAGGGCTCTTGTCACCTCCTGGGAAGCGGCAATGCGACAAGCAGGTGGAGACTAGGAAGTCATTCACCCCCAACTTACCAACCTCGCCCAGGCTCCCTCCCTCACCAGCCTGTCCAGCTCTGCCTGCAGGTTTTCAGAGCTGCAGAACCCACCAATTTAACACGCCCATTCTACTTGGCATCAGGAAGCCAGCCTTTGCCCTGCAGTTAAAGTTCACTAATCAGACTGGTCTCCGACTGCAGCCATTCTGTTGTGGAAGACAAGATTTTATTCTTTTTCAAAGGGTGAGTAGTAGTACATTCTTCATTTACACTAAAATTCCTTTATCTGGTCATCAGTTAGTGGGCATCTGATTTCGTCTCTTGGTTATTGTGACATGAGCTACTATAATAAACACGGGGGTACAGATAACTCTGAAATGCTGATTTGATTTCCGTTGGATACATTCCCAGGAGTGGGATGGCTGGGTCACATGGTAGATCTATTTTCAGATTTCTGAGAAATCTCTACACGATCTTCCATAATGGTTCCACTAATTTCCTCTCCCACCAACAATGCATTGAGGTGCCTCTTTTTCCATTTGCCAAAAAAAAAAAAAAAGTGGTAATTAATATATACAGAGAGTACCAAAAAATATAATGAGTATGAATGAAATATTGAGATAATATTGAGAAAATTTTGGGCCCAGTGAGGTAGCCCAATGGCTAAAGTCCTCGCCTTGCACACAACAGGATCACATATGGGCGCCAGTTCTAGTCCCAGCAACCCCATTTTCCATCCAGCTCCCTACTTGTGGCCTGGGAAAGCAGTCAATTATAAAATAAAGTATGTAAAAATGAAATAAAACACATGATTGCAAAAAATTAAGACAAAAATCAGGTCCCGTTGTGAAGACTCAATTGGCTAATCCCCTCTTCAAGCACCAGGATCCCATGTGGGCACTTGCCCAAAAAGCAATATTATTAAAAAAAAAAAAAAAATGAACTGCTTTGTAAGATAATGCCAAGGTCAGTGTAGTGATGTAATGGGTCAAGCTGCCTACAGTGCCAGCATCCTGTATGAACGCTGATTTGTGTCCCAGCTGCTCCCCTCCCAGCCAGCTCCCTCCTTTGGCCTGGGAAAGCAGTAAAGGATAGCATAGGTGTTTGGGCTCCTAGAACCACATGGGAGACGTGAAGGAGCCCCTGGTTCCCAGCTTCCGATCAGCTCCATTCCGGACACTGTGGCCATTTGCCGAGTGCAACAGCACATGGAAGAGCCCTCTCCCTGTCAGTTCGCCTTTCAAATAAGACAAAATAGTTTTTTAAAAGTATGTCATTCAATGTTTGCACCGTTTCAACTCAGTAATTGCACTTCTTAACATCTATTCTGCTTAAATATTTGTGACTCTTATAAGTGCTCAGCAACATGAATCCAAGGTCAGCCAAAAGTACATCTGTAGGGGAATGGCTGCAGGAGGAGCACCCACAGAGGCCGCTTTGCATGTGTATCGGTCCTGACTTGATGTATGAGGAAGTGGTAATATTAGCAGTTAATACTTATTAGGTATTTCCAATGTGCCAGGCAGTACGATATGCAGAATATCCTATTATCTCAATGAAACTTTACAACTCTGTGTGATAAAGACTATTATAAACTTCATTTTACAAACCAGCAGACCAAGACCCAGAGCCTTAAGCTCTTATTGGTCTGAAGCAGCACAATGCATTGTCAGATCTGGTGTGTGGTCAGGCCATCGGAGTTCGCAGTTTACACATGTAATTAATATCTACTAACCCTGTGCCCCAAGAGGAAGCCACACAACCCTGTGTGGCTGTTTACAATTGGATTCTTTGTGTGTGGTCTAAAAACTTTTGTGTAATTTTTTTTAAAAATCAGAAAACTCATATATAGGCATATATTTAGAAACATGTTTGACCAATACTTAAGGAAGTCGGAAATGAGATGGCAGGGATTATTCTCTGTGTCCATCTGTCTTGGGACCAGCACGGACAGGTTAAAAGGACGACTGTTCCTGTACAAAGTGTACTCTGTACATTTTCTAATGTGACTGTCTCAACTGTGTTTGTACAAGGTTTGTGGTGGGAAGAAGTTTGTAGCTAACGGACACACCAGTGAGGCCTCGAAGTGAGACCCTCAGTCCATACTTGCGTCAAACACGTGCAGCCTGACGTCCTGCACGGGTTGGGATCCTCTCTCTCCTCCCCCAAAGACGTAGAGCCGGCTCCCGATGGCGGCCGAGGAGGTGTGGAATGTGCGCGGAGATGGGGGCAGACTTGTCACTTCCGGTGTGGTCCAAGACCTGCTTTCTGATTTGAGAGAAGATGGACATCCAGCTAAGATCTTGACTCTTGAGCTGGAGGGGGTCACTTTTCAACTCCTAATCCCATATTCACATGCACAAATGTCAAGCAGGGAGGGTGGTACTTAGAATTTCCCAGACAGACCAAAATTTTCCAGAGCCACAAGTACAATCAAGAATAAGGTACAGTGCTGGTGTGGTGGTATAGCCAGCCAAGCTTTAGCCTGTGGCGCTGGCCTCCTATACAGGTACCAGTTCGAGTCCTGCTGTTCCACTTCTGAGCCAGCTCCCTGCTAATGGCCTAGGAAAGCAGTGGAAGATGGCACAAGTCCTTGGGTGCCTGCACCCATGTGGGAGACTCAGAAGAAGCTCCTGCCTCCTGGCTTCTGACTAGCCCAGCTCCAGTGATTGTGGCCATGTGAGCAGTGAGCCAGAGAATGGAAGGTCTCTTTCTCTCCCCTCTTTGTACGGCTGCCTTTCAAGAAAAACAAACAAAACATCTTTTAAAAATGTTGAACATAAAAGAAGGATGTTCAAGTTGCTTTCAGAGGACTTTGTGCTCTCTGAATTCTATCCTGTTTTGCTGATGGGCTTCGCCTATGCCCCATTCAGAGGAGCCCACACCTGTCAAAACCCATGCCCACTGTGATGCCGGGGCCCAAATGCACCAGCTGGGCATTTTAGGACATACAGCAACATATCTGGTTCTACCCATTAGATCAAGAGGCACTCTCTACACGCACTGCGATAACCAGAAGTGTTTCTAGGTAAGGCCTAACGTCCTCTAGGGGGTCTAAGTGTCCCCACTGGAGATCTGGATGATCTGGGCTCTGGATGCGCTCTGTCACCTCCCCTCTCCACAAGCTTGTCTATGTAGCAGAGCTGGTTTCTGAAATCTTCTCCAGCTTTGACACTTAAGGAGTTGATAATTGTGTATGTTACTTGGAAAAAAAAAACTACAACTTTATTATTTTCAGATTTCACTGTAAGTTAGAATTCCTGTTATCTATGAGGTAGGTAGAGTTAAATGGATTAATCAGTGCAATTAATCCAAATATACTATAATTATCACTGGCTTTATGTATGTATGTAAATAAAGTAATGTTGGGCTACTTACCAGGGTTCAGGACTTGCACACAGTTCCGATTGCCTGACTGGTTGGCACCTCCGAACACCCAGATGCTGTGAGGGGAGCAGGAGGGAGTGAAGCTGGCGTGCTCATACCGGGCCAGAAGGCCCTCCAAGCGGGCCCGGGCCCATCGGTGTGCACCTAGAAAACAGGTCACCAGTCCTTAGATTGGAGGCTGCTAACTGTGTCTCCAGATTGACAACTTGTGGAGAGACATGCCAAGAGCCCACAGGAATAGCCACCATGTCACTTTGAAATAACAATGTCAAGCCCCAAAAAGTTTGGCATCAGACGCTTCAGGGCACTGCTGACCTCGTCCACAAACCCTCTATGGAAACTTCCTCCATCCTCCCAATCACCTGGGAAGATCCTACTTGACACCAGAAGTAGCCACCTGACTCAAAATGGGCCGATCACGATCCACTGCCTGTACGCCCTCCCAGGGATGTGCTGGCTCTCTGCCCCTGACTTCTGTCAAACATTCCTGTAGCTGTGTCATTCCTCTTTTCATCGCTGGCTTAAGTGGATTGCTGTTTTCCAGAATAAATGAATTCTGACTAAAACAAGTTCACAGAATTGATACTTATTAGAAATGATATTATTTGAGACGGAGAGAAACACAGGCAGAAACAGAGGAGAGGGAGGAGAGAGAGGTAGAGACAGAGAAGAGAGAAGGAAGAAGGGACAAGCATTAGAGAATTCCTCCCTTCTTCACTCCCCCAAACGCCCACAGCAGCTCGGGCCGGGCCGGGCTCAACCAGGAGCCTGGGGAGCTTAACCCAGGTCTGTTACACAGGTGGCAGTGCCTCAGTTACTGCAGCCATCGGCACTGCCTCCCAGGGGCACTGGAAGAAGTGAGAATTTTTAATTTTTGGAGCTGAAATTTAAACCCAGGTTGCTCTGGTATAGGATGTGGGTGTCTCAGCTGGCATCCCAACTGCTAGGCCAAACTCTGGCCATCTATCGCTTATTTTACTTTAGTAAACCACTTAGCTAGGACTGTTGGGGACCACGTTGCTAGAGTACGGATGCCAAGTGAAGCAAATTATCATGCCCGCGTGACAGGACGCTGAGGCCCAGATGATGGACGACTTAGACAGTTTGGCTGGGATTACGAAGTCAGGAATGGGTTGTAATAGACACGTAACTGCGCTAAGCAGTGAGCAACTTGAACACTGGGAGGGGTTTAACTTGCCTTGGATCTCCTGGTGCAGAGAGCAGGCACTCAAAAGCCCAGACAGGACTCGAGGGGACAATGGCACATTGGCACATCGGAGAATGAGAGCCCCGAACACAGGTGGCAGCTCAGCTCCAAAGAATTATTACTGTGCAATTAGACATGAAGGCCTCTTATTGCTGTATATGATCAGTACAAGTACAAACTACTTCCAGAATTAAGCTCCTGCACATTTGCTTTATTACTTTTTTAAAAAAATATTTATTTATTTTTATAACAAAGTCAGATACACAGAGAGGAGAAGAGACAGAGAGGAAGATCTTCCGTCCGATGATTCAGATTGATTCAGCTCTGGCCATTGCAGCCACTTGGGGAATGAATCAGTGGGTAGAGGGTTTTCATTTCTGTCTCCCCTCTTCTCTGTATATCTGACTTTCCAATAAAAACAAATAGACAAACAAAAAAATGAGACTACCTGGCTAGGCATGGAAAACACCTTGGACAATGGGTTTCAAGTCAGGATATTCTAAGTCTAAGAAATAGCCCCACACTGCGGTAGAGGTGGTGGAAATGATAAGCAATTATGAAGATGCGCGACATTGAGAACTTGGTGGTTAACTGGCTCTATTTACATTTTCCTAGAGAACTATTTCTTCGATGGATGGCTGGATGGTCAGGCCTCCATAAGGATTTTCTTCCTAAGACAGGGGGGCATTTATCAGGTAGATGTGTGCCAGGGGCTTGCAGAGATCTTTGGGACCTGTCCATAGCAATTTTTTTTAAAGATATATTTATTTATTTACTATTGGAAAGTCAGCTTTACAGAGAGAAGGAGAGACAGAGAGAATGATCTTTTATTCATTGGCTCACTCCCCAAGTGGCCACAACAGCTGCAATTGAGCTGTTGTGAAGCCAGGAGCCAGTGGCTTCTTCCGGGTCTCCCACGCGGGTACAGGGTCCCAAGGCTTTGGGCCATCCTTGATTGCTTTACCAGGCTACAAGCAGGAAACTGGAGCAGCTGGGACATGTTCATATGGGATTCCGGCGTGTGCAAGGTGAGGCTTTAGCCACTAGGCTACTATGCCAGGCCCGCTTGGTACTGTTTTATAGAGGAATAAATTTGCTGCCCTGCCTGAACTCTCATGCTTAGAAATGCTGATGTCACGGTCCATGCACAAAGCCAGCTGTGCCCCACAGCCTCAGGGCTTACCCAGATCCATGGTGTGCACATCCGAGAAGCTTCTGCTTGGATTTGCTCCCCCAACAATGAAGATCTTCCCCCTCTTGTCACCACCAACAGGAGGTAAATATGAGCAGCTGTGGCCAACTCGAGCACAGGGGATCTCTCCGGACGGAGTCAAGGTGTACCTGAGCAGAGAACAAACAGCGCGTTCTTTCCATTCCTAAGAAGTGGTGACAATGAACAGTCTCCCACTGCATACAGCCGAGTAGCACCTCCATGATCCTGGGGGCAGCACCTGCCCTGAGCTCCCAGCTCTCGACTTGCCAGCTCTGTCACACTTTCATCTTCCGTGGCGTCACTGGGCTGCTGTGCTACCTGCTAGTCTGAGAAACACAACCAGCAGTAGTGACTGGTATGCCCAAGCACAAGGTGGTGGCAAGGACCGTGGTTTGTGACTTCAGAGTTCGTTTAAATCCTAGCTCAGGTACTCTCCAGTGTGGGAACCTTTGTGAACTTCAATTTCCTCATTTTCACAAATGAGAATAGATACAGTTCTTATCCTGAAAGTGGATGTGAGATGCGGCCTCGCAGGCGTGCAGGAAGAGATCCAGCCAATGGTGGGGACAGCTTGATGTGCATTTATAGAAACCTACAGCCACAGTGCTCCTGTCAGCTGACAGATTCTCCTGAATTTGCTAGTTTTAAGAGCCTTTCTAGAGTATTCACAGAGTTTACCCTATGAGAAACCAAAACCATGGGCCCAGCACGATAGCGTAGTGGTTAAAGTCCTCGCCTTGAAAGCACCAGGATCCCATGTGGTCACTGTTTCTAATCCCAGCAGCTCCGGTTCCCATCCCGCTCCCTGCTTGTGACCTGGGAAAGCAGTCGAGGACGGCCCAAAGCTTTGGGACCCTGTATCCGCATAGGAGACCTGGAAGAGGCGCCTGGCTTCGGATAGGCTCAGCTCCAGCTGTTGCGGCCGCTTGGGGAGTGAACCATTGGATGGAACATCTTCCTCTCTGTTCTCCTGCTCTCTGAATATCTGCCCTTCCAATAAAAATAAATAAATCTTTTTTAAAAATCCAAAGCCAGGGTTTTTGCGGAAAAAAAATCAAATAAGGATCTGGGTCTTTCCATTCTGAAAAGTTATTCTGAATATTCCTTGAGAAAACACTTCAAGCCCAGTTGGGGAGTGAATCATCAGATGGAAGATCTTCCTCTCTGTATATTGACTTTGTGAGTGCTTGGCGCAGGCAGCAGGATCAGCACAAGCAGGTCCCAAGTGGGGCAGCTGCACAACGTGGGAAAGGATGGGGAGAAGAACAACCACATGAGGAACAAGGTTTGCAGCTGGAAAGATGGGCAGGAATGGATTCTGCAGAGCCCTGCTTGAGGAGTCTGCTTTTATCCTAAGACCAACAAGGAAGCACAGAAGGGTCCTAACACTAGGAAACGCCATGATTACAATGTACTTCAGCCTAGCACTGGACGGATCACCGAAGTGGGAGGATCTACCTCAAGGTCAAGGCAAAGGTGCCCTCCCCCAGCAGCCTTCTCTGTGCCCGGCTGCAGTACAGACCCCCTCATCACCGTTACCTGCTCTTCTGCAGCTGACACCACCCAGGCCTGGCTGCCTTTGGACCCCTAGACCCCACAGAGCAGCTGCCTGACAGACACGCGTGGGGTGCTGAATGAAGTTTGGTCAAACGAGCCACCAGTGAAGCCAGCTTCAGCCAAATCCGACTCCCTAAACAATCTTAAAAACGAGTCGCAGCTTGAGGGAAAGTCAGTGTTGGAGCTAAGGCTGGCAGCTGGCCAGTGCCTTACTCTCCTAATAAGAGGATTTTAATAAAATCAATATCTGCTCTGTGAAAATGACCACCCCCTTCCTCCGAAGACCTTCTTAGACAGTTGGGTTTTAATTACCGAATGCCACAGTTTCATCCCTATTTTTTCATTTATGATCAGATCTGTTAGGAAACTACTTATAAATTAGAAAGTCAGATTTTCACGTCTGAATCCTTCCTTACCATGTTGCTTTCCTGGGCTTGTCTCCAGGCTCCAAGACTGGCAGCTGCCTCATGTTGTCCTGTACAATAGGAAAAAAAAAAGCAATTTGAGACATTTATGATGGTCTTCTTCATAAAATACAGAACAAATCCATTCATCCCTCTCTTTGACATCTTTCCTGTTAAATGTAGCACTTTCTAGCACCTGATTACACTTTTAAGAATTTATTTATTTGAAAGGTCAAGTTATAGTGAGCGTGAGAGAAAGAAAGATCTTCCATCTGCTGGTTCACTTTCAAAAGGTTGCAGTAGTTCCAGCTGGTTCAGGTCAAATCCAGGAACCAGAAATTCCATCTGGCTCTCCCAGGTGGATGGCAGAGGCCTAAGGACTTGGGCCATCTTCTATTGCTTTTCCAGACACATTAGCAGGGACCTAGATCAGATGAGGTGTGGTTGGGACTCGAATGAACATGCCTACGGGATCCCAGCTTTACAAGCAGCAACTTAATCTGTAGTGCCAAACACTGTCCCCATACCTCCTGATTAATTTAAATATGCATCTCAGGCTTTTTTGCTTGAGATTTATTTATCTGAAAATGTTATAGAGAGAAGGAGAGATTAAAAAAGAGGGATGTCTTCCATCCACTGGTTCACTCACCAAATGGCCACAACGGCCAGGACCATGTCAGACAAAGCTAGGAACCAAGAGCTTCAACCAGTCTCCCGTAGGGGTGCATGGACCCAAGTACTTGGGCCATCTTCCATTGCTCTCCCAGTCACATTAGCAGGTAGATGCTCAGAAGTGGAGGAGTTGGGACTCAAACTGGTGCCCACGTGCATGGCAGCATGGCAGATCGTTTTAACCTGTTTTGTCCCAATGCCAATCCTATCATCAACTTTTTGATATAACCTTATAGTTGTGAGGCAACCATAAGATAACTTTTCTTAACACGGTTACAAGAGTTTTATGGTGAAAGATATGCTTTTATTTTTAATTCTCATGGGAGAAATTGCATATATCAAAATAAAATTTTAGAATTTTATCTACATTTACCAGAAATAAAATAGGCACTGTGAGGCACAGCCAGTTAAGCTGCCTCTGGTGTTGCCAACATAGCATTCTGGAGAGCCGGCTCAAGTGTCAGCTACTTCCAAATTTCCATCTAGTTTCTCACTACAGCTTCCCATGTGTGTCCTAGCTGTTCCACTCCAGCTCCCCGCTAATAAAGAGCAGCACAAGATGGCCAAGTACGTGGGTCCCTGCTCCCCATGTGGAAGGCTCAGATGAAAAGCCTTTGCTCATGGCTTTACCCCGGCCAGTCCCTGCCTTTGTGGCAATTTGGGGGGGTGAACCAATAGATGGAAGCTCTCCCTCTGTCTTTCAAATAAATAAACAAGAAGAGGGGGTAGGGCGACAGTACGGAAAGGAGCATTACCTACATATGAAGAAAGGTCCTGCTGGACCCAGTGCGGTGGCCTAGTGGCTAAAGTCCTTGCCTTGAATGCATCAGGATTCCATATGGGTGCTGGTTTTAACCTAGCAGCTCCACTTCCCATTCAGCTCCCTGTTTGTGGCCTGGGAAAACAGTTGGGGACAGCCCAAAGCCTTGGGATCCTGCACCAGTGTGGGAGACCTGGAAGACGTTCCGGGCTCCCAGCTTCAGATAGGTGCAGCTGCAGCTGTTTTGGGCACTTGAGAAGTGAATCATTGGACAGAATATCTTTCCTCTCAGTCTCTCTTCCTCTCTGTATATATCTGACTTTCCAATAAAAATAGGTAAACCTTTAAAAAAATTAAATGAAAAGAGCTTAAAAAAAAAAAGACCAAGAGACAGATGAGGATAAGAGAGCTTCCATCTGTTGATTCAGTCCCCAATTGTCTGCAAGGCACAGGGCTGAGTGGTGCTGAAGCCAAGCACTGGGAACTCGGGCCAGGTCTGCTGCGTGGGTGGCAGGGCCTTTAAGCACTGCTGTTACCTGCTGCCAACGCCTCTCAGGCCTGCATCTGTAGGAAGCTAGGGCAGGGAGCAGAACCAGGAGCCAAAGCCAGGAGCTCAGACGCCGGATGCAGGTGCCCTCCAACTATATCTCATCTTCACTTCTGGGCCATCTTCCGCTGCTCTCCCAGGTGTATAAGCAGGGGGCTCCGGAAGCGGAGGAGCCAGAAAACCAGCCTCTTGCAGGGCCACAACACTGCGCCCCTCCCTTCCTTCTTGCGAACCTGAAACTTGTAGGGAAAAGCAACAACAAAATCGTGTAGGTGATCCCTTTAGCCCTGCTCAACTACCTTTTCCCTGATTGGCTGCTTTCCACCCCCACTCCCCCAAGCGACTTCCTTCTCCTCGGGGCTCTGCCAGCCAGCTATCTGCAGACTTCAAAAAGTTCAACGGAAAATGGAGTTTGTGTAGAAAGATAAATTTCGAAAGAATTTGAAATCCATGCATATGAGGGCGCCTCAAAAAGTCTGTGCAAAATGTGTATTATGAAAGAACTCCGCCAGGATTTCCAATTATTTTTGTGGCAAATAAAACTTATTCCTTCACTTTCATCTCTCCATGAACTTTCTTTTTAAGATTTTATTTGTATTTGAAAGGTAGAATAATGGAGAGGAGGACAGAAATCTTCCATCTACTGGCTCACTCCCCAAATGGCCACAATGGCCAGAGATGAGTTCATCCGAAGCCAAGAGCTTCTTCCAGGCCACCCATGTGGGTGCAGGGGCCCAAGGACTTCAACCACCAGCAGGGAGCTGGATAGGAAGTGGAGCTGCCAGGATTAGAACCAGGGCCCATATGGGATCCCAGTGCGTTCAAGGCAAGGACTTTAGCTGCTAGGCCACGCCACCGGGCCCCAAAATAAAGTAAATCTTAAAAAAAAAAGTGCCATGTTCAGTTCTGGCTACTCTGTTCTGGCCCAAGTACTTGGGTTCCTGGCTCCTGGCTTCACATCCTGGGGGAGAGATACAGCAGAGAGAGGATTCTCTCTCCCTACCTCACTGTGTTATTCTGGTCTTTCCAACAAATACATCTTAAATAAATAAATCCATAAGTAAAAACCACTGGAATAGATTCTAGATTAGATTCCACTAAATTCCTAACGCGCAGGGCATGGTTGGAATTCAATTTAGAGATCCTACCAACCGACCCAGCCTAAGAAGTGGGATTAAGAAAAGTGTTAACAGGCCCAGGGATCTAGCAGGCGGATCGCAGGGCGGCCTTGGCCACAAACTGTCGACCCCAACCCCGGAGAGGGGTGGGCTGTGCTGCGCGGGGACCCCCTCCCCTGCCTCCTCCCACAGGGCACCCCCGCGAGGCTGCTCTCTCCAGGGGCTAGGAGACCCGATCGAAATGGGTCGGGTGGGCGCCTTTCGGCCAGCGCGCCCAGGCTGGACCCCCACGAGACCCTGCCCCCTCCTTCCTCCAGGCTCAGGCCCCTTTGCTAAGGGAAGCAGCGGCTCAGGCCCCGGAAACCCCAAACCCGGACCACGTTACCTGCGGCGGCTGCAGCCGGTGGCGGGCCTTGGCTCCTCCCCGCGGGGGCGGACCTTGGCTCGGCGCCTCGCCCCCGGGCCCCGGAAGAACGCGGGGGCCAACAGCTCCCCTTGCGGGCCTCCCTCGCCAGGCCTCCCTGGCAACGAACCACTGGGAAGCCAACTGGGCGGGGCGTCCACTTGGGTGACCCGAATTACCCTGGGCAGCACGCTGCACGTTTTTAGTAAGAGCAATGGGTTCTGGAGCAGAGAGCTCAGGGTGCATTGCTACCCATGCCATCTGTCTGCAGTGGGCTTTTGGAGGCCTTGGCACGGCTGGGGCGGTCCCCAGCAGGGGCGTGCTGAGAGACCACACAGTCCTTGGCATGCTGTTCATCTCCAAGAGAGAGAGGCACAAAGGCAAGTGACGGGGGAGGGGGGGCGATTGTAAGGAGTGCCAAGATTGAAGGGTTGACAGGTGAGCAGCTCCTTGTTTTTAGGAAGGCGGTTTTTCCCTGCTCCACCTGCAGGAAGACATGGGCTGCACTGGCCGGTGGCAAACACAGAAGCCCGGGTGTGCTGGTCTTGGCTGTTAGTGCTGTGGGCACATTCATCTTGAGTAGTGCTGAGCCAGCTCCTAACCATGGGTTTTCCGCGGCTTTGAGACATGTTGCTGAGGGAGCAAGAGGTTAAAATCAGGCCAGACTGGGCCCTACGGTGTGGCCTAGTGGCTAAGATCCTCGCCTTGAATGTGCCGGGATCCCATATGGTTGCGGGTTCTAATCCCGGCAGTTCCACTTCCTCTCTATCTCTCTTCCTCTCTATATATCTGACTTTGTAATAAAAATAAGATAAATCTTAAAAAAAAAAAAATCAAGGCCAGACTAACTCCATCACACAGCCCTGACAGCACTGGATGGGATTCCATTCTAATGAATACTTGCCAATGGACAAGATTTAGCAATTGACTGTAACAGGTTGGAAAGGATTCAATTCACTCGTCCGTGCCTTCACAGTAACTAATGGATAACCACTACTTTGGTTCTTCTGACTTTCCAATAATAAATAAATCTTTGAAAATCTGCCTTTCCAATAAAAATAAATATTTCTTAAAGACGTGTTTATTTATATCGGAAGGTCAGATTTACAGAAAGAAGGAGTTAGAGAGAATGATCTTCTGTCAGCTGATTCACCTCCCCAAGTGACTGCAATGGCCAGAACTATGCTGATTCGAAGCCAGGAGCCAGTAGCCTCCCCTGGCCTACCATGCGATGCAGGGTCACAGGACTTTGGCCCATCCTCCACTGCTTTCTTAGGCCATAAGCAGGGAACTAGATGGGAAGTGGAGCTGCTGGCATACCAGTCAGCACTCATACGGGATCCCAGCACATGCAAGGCAAGGGCCCCAGCCACTAGGCTGCTGCTTTGGGCCAAAAAATAAACCTTCAAAAAAGACATAAAAAGGCCTTTGGACTGGGGCCCTGGGTGGCTTGGTCTCTCTGCCAACTGTTCCCTGTGCTTGACTGGTCTGTACGTTGCATCTCTTCCCTCGTTGTGCCCGTTTTGTGACTCTCGTTGCCCCAGGACACCTGCCTGAACTCATCTCACCAGCTTGCCTGCCACAGCCCCCTCACATGTACCGTTAGGAGGATTCCCATTTCTCTACAGTGGTGTGTCATAGGAAACGTGAGGCTGGAGGCAGGGCTCCCAGACCACGAGCTGTGTAAGCTTAGCGAGGTTAGGTCACACGTGCGTGAGTTCGACACCAGGCTCTTGCACTAACCACCTAACCGTGATGCTTGGCTGTTCGCTTGCCGAACCCTGGTTTCGTCTATGGCATGAGGACAGTGATGCCTACCGGGCAGATAGGATTTGAGAAATATTTTCTCGCATGAAGCCTTAACCAAAATTTGATAAAATGAAATTTTAAAAAATGATCTCTTTTTGTTATTTGAAAGGCAGAGTTACACATAGACAGGAGACAGACAAAAGGAGAGATCTTCTACCTACTGGTTTACTCCACGAATGCCCACAATAGCCATGGCTGTCCCAGGCCAAAGCCAGGAGCCAGGAGTTTCTTCCAGGTCTCCCATGCAGGTGCAGGGTCCCAAGGCTTTGGGCTGTCCTCGACTGCTTTCCCAGGCCACGAGCAGGGAGCTGGATGGGAAGCAGAGCTGCTGGGAGTAGAACCATGGCCCTTATGGCATACTGGGGCATGTAAGGGGAGGACTTAGCTGTTGGGCTACTGTGCCAGGCCCACAAGTTTTATGTTTTCTTTTTTTTCAAAAAGAAAAGTCAAAATATGTTCATGAAGACCTTGAGGGAGATTTCTGCTCAGAGCAGCAGAACACTCCTGGGCTTTCAGGCCAATGTCAAGGTGATATACTACAGTGGAAAACAGGAAGAGGTCTGTGGGCAAAAGATGTTTTCATCATGAGACCTTTGTGGAAGGCTAAGGTTGCCTTTCCGTCATTGTCTTCTGCACCGCAGTGTCAGCTGCACGCTGTCCCAGTAAACCCCGGTGTGACCATGTCTCCTGCCCTGTGTTCCATGGGGGAGGTGAAGGGAGAAATTCACTGTGAGAGGCAGTTCTGCGACAGGGAGCTTCTCACCGCAGGCTCATTCTGCCACCTCTCCTGGGAAGGCGATACTACCAACCTACTCATGCACGCATCAGCAAGGGACAAAGTGACGGCTGCTGACACCTTCCCTTGTACCTGATGTCCACACACGTCCGTTGGCCTTCCTTCCCATTTCTGAAAAAGTCTCTTGAGCAGGATGTATTTCCAATGATTGAGGTGCTTCAGAGATGAAAAGTAAATCGGCAGCTTTCCAAAGAGGGTTGCACACAAACAAAAAAGCAAGCCAGCCAGGGACCAGTGTTTTAGCTGATCAGGTTAAGCAGACACCTGTATCACAGGCAGCCCATATGGAGGTGCTGGTTTGAGTCCCAGCTCTGCATTCAGTCCAGCTCCCTGCTAACGTGCCTGGGGAAGCAGAGGAAGATGGCTCCTGTGCTTGAACAGGCCACCGACTTGGGAGAGCTCAATCTGGACCACCCAAAGCTGGTGGAGCCATCTGTGGCGTGACCAGTGGATGGAGGATCTTGTTCTTTTTCACTGCTTCCCTCTGCTCTTGTCATTTTGCCTCGCAAATAAATAAACTTGTTTTTCGTGAAAGTTATTTAGGGGTCCAGCATGGTAGTATAGTGGCTAAAGCACTCACCTTGCATACGCTGGGATCCCATATTGACACTGGTTCTGTTTCTGGCAGCTCTACTTCCCATCCGGCTCCTTGCTTGTGGCCTGGGAATGCAGTTGAGAGCAGCCCAAAGCCTTGCGACCCTGAACCGGCATGGGTGACCCAGAAGAGGATCTGGGCTCCTGTTTGGATCAGCTCAGTTCTGGCCATTGTGGCCACTTGGGGAGTGAATTAGTGAACAGAGATCTTTCTTTCTGTCTCTGCTTCTTTTGGTAAATCTTATCTGCTTTTCCACTAAAAATAGCTAAAAACTTTTTAAGGCAAAGAATAATAGCATCTTTTCCTCTGTTGGAATTTAAATTTTTTTGTTATCCTTTTTCCTTAAATTCCTAAACATTACTACTTCAGGAAGTTCTTTCCCATCCATGTAATAATGAAACTAATATAATGTGCACAACAACTGTGGCCAGATATTGTGTAAAGTCATGTTTATATGGCAAGATTATTCTGATTTCTGTATGAGACCAACACTGCTATCACCTCCAGACTGGAGCTGAGAACATCTGGGCACAGGAAGGTTAAAGCAATATGCCCACGTCCTCTGGCAAGCAGTGGACCTTGGGCATGAACTTGGCCATCCATGCCAGGGTCTGGACACGCTTCCCTGTCACTGTGCACTAATCACATTGTATACTTTTGAGATTTGATCTTTGCTGTGTTTACTGTGTGTCTCTCTTAAAGAGCGTGAGCCCCATGAGGGCAGGCGTCTCCTGGCTCACATTCGTAACAGCAACATGGGCATTGCGTGACAGCTTTCCAAGCCAACACAGAAAGGGACGCTCCTGGGTGCGACCTGCTATGCTCCTGCACAGACTTTTGGCAGTTAATTTTCCTTGGAGATAACTTTATACTAAAGACCAGTTGGGAAAAAAAGAGTGAGACAAAGAATTGGACTCATTCAAGATCTTGTGTAAGTTTGGTTAGCTGCCCTCAAGACAGGTTTTAGGGCAAGAGGGTTCAGAGTGTCTTAAGCAACAAGCAGTTATTGGCGTCTGTTACTGAGAAAGAACCGTTTATTCGACAGAGAAAGAGAGGGAGAGGAGATGGACCTGGTTTACTGCTCCAGGTGGAGCAGGCCACAGCCAGGCAGCAGGAACTCCACTCAGACGTCACGCATCAGCAGCATGCACCCAAGATCTTGCCGTCTTCTACCACCTCTCCAAGCACATTAGCAGTGAGCTGGACAGGAACATGTTTGGGCTTAGCATCCTGCCACTGTGAGCCGTGATCACCTCTGGGTTCTCATCTCCCTCCTCCCCTCACTTGGCTCCCACCAGACTCTGGTCCTATTTGCATCTTTGGGCTTCCTTACCAGCTCCTCCCAAGAACTTCCCGCAGGCGTCTGGCTGGATAACTGCCCTTCTTGGTGGTTCTTAAAAACTCTTGCTTTGTTTCCTCCGCTGTGGTTTTCTCCCCTAGTACCTATCACGTTGTCATGTGTAACATTTTTTATGGTGTCTTTCTTTCCTGAGTTTTAAGGCTCAGATCGAGGACACACATCCTTGTGGTGTGTACTGAGTTTTCCCTGTGCTTGGCGAGTAGCTGGCGCTCAACAAATAGATGTGGAATGAGTGCATGTTCACTCAACGGACCCAACGCCGTGTCCTCAGGGACTCCCAGAGACCCATGCTTAAAGCCAGCAGACCCATTTTCCCATCTTGACTTCCCTGTTGAGACTGCGGACTCTGAACCTCGGTTCTCCTCGCAATCATGAAAAGAATCAATGGGGGAAGGGTGTGCAAGAGGGACACAGCCAGATGCAAACAACAAAACATTTACAGCCTTGGGTCT